GAACGGGTGCGTGGCTCGGACTCACGGTGACCCCGTGTGTGATGGAACAGGTGCGTGGCTTGGACTCACAGTGACCCCGTGTTGATAGAACTAAACCTTGCCTGGTCCCTGTGCCATCCTCACAAGCTTTGCTGGGTTGCAGCCCATGGTGCAGCCAGTGTGTCAATCTGTCCATCTCGTTGGGGGTCTCCCTCTTTTACCAAGTGTGATGTCTTGTCATGACTGCCTCCTGTAAGTTAGAATTTGAGCTTGGCACTGCCTTACAGATCCCCTTTTCTGCCTTCTTTTACCAAAGCTTTACATTGAAAAGGAATGTCAGAGCCTGTGGTAGACTCTTTAAATTCTTATCTCATTCAGTGCTCTTAGGTTATGTTTCATCCCCCAAACTCAACATTTAAAATACCCTAACTATTTCATGTTTGGTGTTAACCTAAATTAGCAAGTGAATGCTGTGTACTAAATGTAGTTTTTCTCTCTTTTTGTTTTTTTCTAAGTAGCCGGTGTGATTGGTTAGGAAGGTTTATTTTGCTGTAATGAGCTGTTGACCTCTTTTTCTTTTCATTGACTCTTAGTGCTACTTGTTTTAAGGGCTTTAATTACGCAGATGATTATAGCACTGTGGCCTGTAACTAGGCTGACCCACTTGTGTGCATGCATGGATTATGGGAAATTTGTCCTTTTTTATTTAAAGATTTGTTCCAAATGGAATTTTTATATTTCAAGTGCTAATTAATTCCATGGGCTGGTTGTTTGTTCCCTTTGGTTTCTGAGCTTGGATAGTTTTAGGATGTCTAATGAACAACATGCATTTTTTATCATGGTCATGACACAAATCATGTCAGCCCCTCAGCATTTGCCGGCTGAGTGATGTCAAATAAACTCAGTTCACAAATGACCAGCTGCAGGTTTTGTACTTCAGATTTGGGGCCATAAGTTTGACAGACTTGCCCTTATTTTGAAATCTTTACCTTTTACTGTTTTAAGAGTTACTTAAACATTTCATTTTGGAAAATTAAAACATATATACATATACAATTAAAACATATACACATATACAATTAAAACATATACATTGGGTTTCCAGTCTTGGAAACCCAATGAGGGTCACTATGAGTCAGGATGGACTCCATGGCAGTGAATTTGGGGGTTTTTTGGTATACACAGTTACAGAGAATCATACCATGAGCCCCTCCCCGTGTCCCCAGGATTTCCAGAAGGAAGGGATGGGTGGTTTTTAAAGGAAGCCTGTCTCCAGTGATAGACTAGTGATCCTGCTGCAGCTGAGGGAGTGTGTTTTAGGTTTTGTGTATCTGAGTCTGACTAAGGAGTCACAGTGTGGTTGGAGGGAGGGATGGAGGGCAGGAGGTAGGATGATTATTTCATAGAGACCTCAAGAACCCCTGTAAGAACCCACAATGTGCACCACAGCCCACACTGCAAACAAACACAGCGCACTACCATCGGGTCGGATCTGACTCCTAGCGACCCCTCCTTGGGTTTCTGAGGCAGTATCACTATGGAAGTAGATTGCCTAACTTTCCTTCTGAGGAGTGGCTGCTTTGAAAATTCTGCCTGGATAAAATACTGGTTTGGTTTGGAAAGCTTTTTCTATTTGTCTTGGTTTCCTTTCTTCTCTCTCTCTCTCTTTTTTTTTTCCTTTAGATTTTTAATTTGTCTGTTTTATTTTTGACAAGGGCTCTGAAAGAACCTTGTTTGCCCCCAGGAAGGGGAGGAGGGTGCCTTCCTAAGGCCCTGTGATCTGAGGCAGGGTTCGGATGGTTATGCTTTTTCTGGGCCAGAAGAGGGAGCTCTGGAATAGTCTATAAGTTAAAATTGTGTTTCCATGTGTGTTCCCAAATCCCCTTTCTATGGTAGTCTTTATTCTAAATCAAGACTATTGTTTATTTATTTTTAAGTATCCATGGCAACACTAGGGCAGTGCCGTTACTTTCTTTAGGTGGGAGATTGGGTACTTCATACTTGGCAAAGTGCAGGGAAGATGAAAGTCTGCCCAAACACATCCAAGTACTGGAAGCCTGTTCCTCTCCCATCCCAGGTTTTTCAGTGGACGTTAGCCAGAACTGGTGGCTTTGCTTTGCACCATGGTACCAGTCTGTAGTTTTGAAACCATTGTCACCCAAGATGGCTATAACCAAGTGATTGAATAAATATTTTTAATGAAACTAATAGTTCTTGTGCACAAGTGACTTAGGAAAAGTTATTTTATATATCAAAAGAAATGTTAATGACATATTTTAGCCTAGTCATTTCCTTTAGTTTTAATCTTATTCCATATTCACTACAGAGAAGTCTGATCCTTTCTTTGAATAGCCTTTGCCTTTTCTTTTCTTTTTTGGGTCTTTTTGTTACTGATTTGCAGTAGTTCTTTATATTTTGGGCACTAGTTTTTTGTCAGTTTATGTGCAATGTCAGAATTTGTTCCCAGTTTGTGGCTTATGCCTTTAACATTGTAGTGTCTTAGCAGCTTTCATTTTCATGATGTCAGGAGCTCTCGTGGTGTAGTGTCTAAGGCACTTGATTGCTAACCAGAAAGTTGCCAGTTCAAACCCATCAGCCACTCCTCAGAAGAAAGACTGGGCTATCTAACTCGGTAGTGATACTGCCTTGGAAACCCAAGGAGGGGTCGCTAGGAGTTGGAACCGACTTGATGGCAGTGAGTTTGGTTTTTTGATTTTAGGGAAGTCTTTGCTACTTCTTCTTGTTATCTGCCGTTGAGTCAGAACCGACTCTAGCAACCCCTCCTTGGGTTTACTACTTAGATGCCTTAAAAATTGTCTTCTGTTTTATTTATTTTTTTCTTTTTCTAAAAGTTATAAAGTTTTACTGTTCACTTGAGGACTTTAATATATTGGGAATTTGTTTTTGTTTATAATATGACCTGTGGTCATCTGATTTTATTTTTCCATTTGAAAGACTTGGTTCCTCCCAGCACTCAGACCTTTGGTCTTGCTA